TGGCGCAAGGATCTGTTACAAAAGGCATCAAGACGAGATTCCAAGTACAAGATAGCGTCCAGGTTTCACTACCATATAGTAAAATTGACAGTATCAGGGCCTTGAAAACACGTAGCTTGGTCCTTCTGCACAGGTACCGGCATCTCCAAATACTCTTGTCGAGAGATTTCATAACCCCTGCTGCCAGGCCAATCCGTCTACTGACTTCCTGGTCTGACAGCCCAGAGTCATGAACTGCACTACCGAGGTATTTAAAGCTCTTGGTAACTTCGATGTTTTCGCCGCAAGCACGTACCGACTGCACAGGTTCTCCTAGTAAGCCTCCAAAATCCTGGATCTTGGTCTTGGTCCAGGAGACCTCTAGCCCCAGCGGCTTCGCTTCATTGCTAAATGCATCAAGAGCCGCCACTAGGGTTTCCAGAGATTCAGATAGAATGGCAACATCATCAGCAAAGTCAAGGTCAGTAACCTTGATATTTCCCAGAGTTGCTCCACAGTGACTTTGGACAGTAGCTCTACCCAGTATCCAATCCATGTTGGTGCAAGAACACAGCCTTGCCTCACACCTGAACTAACAGGGAAGAAGCTCGACAGGCCCACACCACACTTTACAGCACTCTCAGTGCCTGTATACAGGTTTGCTATTGCTACGCCAGAGGGTCTTTGTCTCTGTGCGAACGCGTGCGAACGCGTGTTAACATGTGTTAACATGAAAATGACGCGGCTGGCTGAGGAGCGGGAGGAACGGGGGCAGGCCGGGAGACGAGTTTTGGTGCCGCTCCCGGTTATGTTGCCCTGTTATAAGCTGTATTGTGCAGTGTGATGTGCTGGTTTGCCTCCTGTATTGTGCCTATAGAAAAGTGTACGGGTAAATAACTGGTGTAAATAAAGGAAAGACTGTCATTGTGAGTTTTTCTTTCGTGCCCTGCCTCGCCCGTAGCGTTTCCCGTGAACGGGGGCAGGCCGGGAGACGAGTTTTGGTGCCGCTCCCGTGAGGACCTCGCGTGTGCCCTTCTCCAGCCTGATATACTTTATGTTGCCCTGTTATAAGCTGTATTGTGCAGTGTGATGTGCTGGTTTGCCTCCTGTATTGTGCCTATAGAAAAGTGTATGGGTAAATAACTGGTGTAAATAAAGGAAAGACTGTCATTGTGAGTTTTTCTTTCGTGCCCTGCCTCGCCCGTAGCGTTTCCCCTCGTGGTGTTTTGGGACGGTGTGGTACTCGGTGCCTCTTGGAGCTGTTCAGTGTTCACGACCCTGTGAATAACACGCCGTCTGCCTAGCCTGCCTCATGTTGGTGGCAGGTAGAGAGGCGGCCGGCGTAACACTATTAATCCAACAATCATTGGAATTCATCTTAGCCTCAGGATCTCCCAGAGTGATTCGCGATGCATCGTATCAAACGCCTTCTTAAGGTCGATGTAGGCTGCAAGCAGCCCACGACCGAACTCACGACGGCGCTCTACAATGACTCGAAGCGCCAGGATGCGGTCTATTGTGGACTTACCAGGAGTGAATCCCGATTGCTCCGGCCTTTGGTTCCTCAGCAGGTGGTCTCTGATACGTCTCAGTAAGATGTGTACGAGTGCCTTGCCTGGTACACTGAACAGTGCAATGCCTCGGTGATTGCTGCAGTCCTACCGATCCCCTTTCCCCTTCCAGAGAGGGATGACCACACCCCTCAGCAGTTCAGGGGGAATGGTACCAGGTGGCAGACAGGACTGCATGCAAGTCCCTTGCCATAGGTTCTCCACCAGCCTTTAACAATTCAGCTGGGATGCCACAAACACCTGCTGCTTTTCCACTCTTCAGCTTGGAGATCGCCCCTTGACTTCAATCAGGGAGGGTGGATCCTCGCTGATGGGTGGGTCAGGCAGAGGAATCTCGACATTCCCCGCGTCCATGTTAACTGTTGGTGGATCAACCTGATACAACTGCTCAAAATACTCAGCCCAACGCACCCCATCAAGATCTGAGATTATCTGGCCATTTACTGAGCGGACTGCAGTCGTCTGTGGGGAGGGCTGGAAGTTCAGCTTTCTCAGGGCTTGGTCGGCAGGGCGAAGGTCATTTACTAAGAAATGGCTTTCGACTTCCTCTGCAAGATTCCTGATAAACTGTTCCTTATCCCTTCTCAACAGTGTCCTAGTCCTACGCGCCAGAGAACGGTGCAAGTTGCGATCCCCTGACAATCTATCCGCACGACAAGCATCTGTGGCTTCCAGTGTCAGTGGCACACTCATCCTCCCTCATTCTGTCCAAGTGAAACACCCTAGGGTGTTCATTTGGGCGACATGTAGAGTACATGTATTTTTCTCTAATATTTGTTTTGTAGATAGTTACTTATATTTATTATATCTATCTATACTTGTCTTTCGTTACTTATATTCTTATGTGAATAAATTAGATATGTGTTGCCCTTTTAATTGGTTACAGTAAATAACACAGTTACCCCCTACGATCAAAGAAAGCGTATAACGACGTTATCTTACACCAACAACCGGCTACTTCGGTAAACGGGGGACCTTGGGATAAATTACATATTCCGCCCTGTTTGAGTGACCTGATCAAAGTCTGAAACCCTGTAAAAGAAGAAAGAAGAAGAAGAATACCTTGTTAAAAGTCTAAGACGTACAAAAGGGGAAAGAAGAAGGAGAAGACCTTATTAAAAGTCTAAAACGTACAAAAGAGGAAAGAAGAAGAGTAGTCATATTACTGGCAGGGAGTATAGATTGTAGAATAGTCTAAACCTTCTAAAATAAGGAAGAATAATAGCTTTGGAGTGAATAGTTTCCTTATCCAAGCAAGGCATTAGTTATTAACAATGTCTTGCGAATCCAAAAAGCGAAAACACGAGGAAATAGAACCTGTTCTTGATTCTATGAATGAAAAATCAGCAGTTTTGTTTTTAGTTCAAGAAGGCATTCAGGGAAAGCGATTTCAACTGATGAAGAATTTTGCTGCAAAGAATGGATTTCACTGTGAAGATCAGCTGTGCGAAAGGTATAAACTTCTTTTTTTTCAATTAGAAGCATTAGATTTCCTTTCTCAGATACTAGATTGGTTTAAAATGTGATTTTACAACCATTATGCATCGTTTGTGTTCTGTGGTGATAGCCTTATGATATTGATGAAGAATATATTACTTATTTGTCAGGTGACTGTGATGACAATAGGCTCTCTGCCTTTAATGCACAGTCAAAGACCAACAAACCTTAAACTGTATATTTTTAATAAGAAAGAACATGAACTTCTTTCATGATTATTTGGCACACAGAAATGTACTCCTTACCTTTATATCATATTTTTTTCTCTCCTTAGCATTATATGCAGGAAATTATGGATTACTCTTAAATATATCAATTATTTTTTGCAGAGTAACTCATGTTATATCCGAGCTGGATAATGTTAAGCAGATTAAGAAGTTATATCCACAGCTGTCTCAGAACAGTCACGTTAAGGTTGTTTCATCTCAGTGGATGTATACATGTGTTCGGTAATTACTATTATTCCACAGTCACACTAATGTGTTTAATAAAGCTTGCTATATAGTTCAGTCTTTGGGGATATTTTCTTTCTTTTTAGCAAGTTGTTTATAAGAATTATACATATTACCTTTCAGGCAGAAAATGCATGTGCCAGAAACCAATTTCCTATTAGAGGGTTATCACCAGTGGTTAGCGGAGAGTCTGCAGGATGCTCAGGGTTCAAGTACAAGAAGTGAACTGGGATTACAAAATGAATCAGTTGGCAGCAAACAGAAACTGGCAAAGGATAATGGGGATATGGGTAAATCATCAGTAAATTCTAATCCTGATTTGACAAATGGTCCTGCATTTATTGATAATATTTTTACTTCACAGAGAAGCTAGATTTTATTTGTTGCTCATTTACAATTCTTCATATTTAGATTATCTAACTGTTATTGACATATATTTTCTTTAATTATTTTTTATCATATGTTTGCAGGTCACACAGAGCATAATAAAAAGACCTTCAATGAGAATATCCTTGAACGAAATGCTAAATTACAAAACCATAATATGAAATTGGTGGTAAGTGTCTATGTGCATATAACCTTTTCATTAATACAATAGACATTTATTTAAATGTGCCTATTTTGTTGATTTTAAAAGAAAGAAAGGAAATCGAAATATTATCAATATAAATCTTCAATACTAACGTATTCCACTTATTTCCAGGAATCATTAACATTTATGAACAATTACTGGACTGTCATGGGTGATGAAAGAAGAGCACTAGCATATGCTAAAGCTGCAGCCACCATCAAATGTCTCCCTTTCACGGTCACGACAATGGAGCAGGTAAAATGAGTACTTTTTAAATAAAGATGCGTACAATGTCACAAGGACTAAAAAAACAAATATTCCAAATTCCCATATAAAGAACAAATAGACAGTCATGATACGCTTTCATGTCATGGGCATGTGTAATTATGTTAATTCTTTCATAATAATGGAGCATATATTTCTTATGATTGTCATAATCATACCTTGTGTGTATATTTGCTTATTATTAATACTCTTGTATAATGTAATTGACATATAGATATTATCTTTATAATAGAGCATGAACAAGCATGAAATTAAGAGACTGTGAGAGGCTAGAAAGAACACTGTTTTACAAGAAAACAGTGTAATGGTTATGTGACTGGGCATTCTATTTTTATTAATTAATTAATTTTTTGAAGCATTATGTATAAATATATGCATGTGCTTTATAAATATATATGTATCCATCCATGAAAAGTTAGAGACTTTAACCAGACAGTAGAATAGTCTAGTTTTGTAATTTTATATATCTTACATCAGTATTATGCAAATTATATAATATTGATGGATTTGTTGTGTCTTAGAAAATATTGTTCTTATAGATTGAGGAGCTGAAAGGTTTGGGAACTGGACATTGTCTCAAGGTAGTGCAAGAGGTTCTAAGAACTGGAACTTGTAGAGAGGTCACTACTAAAGCAGAATCTGAAAGGTATATAGGACTAAAGGTAATAAACTTTTTAAAAGAATTTATATTTGAAATATTACTTTTGAACACTTATTTTAATTCTTATTCTATCATATAATCAGAAAATGTTTAAATATATATATATAAGGATGTACATTGTTATAGTTTCCGCCTTTCAGAACTTGACTACTGTGTATGGTGTTGGTGCAGGTCTTGCAGAGAAGCTTTATACAGTTCATAATTTAAGAACTGTTCAAGATTTGATCACTCATTGGAATCACTTGAAATTAGCAGATGAGAGGATCAAGTATGGTATGGATTTACAGTACAAGTGTAATAAGAAACTCTTACAGTAAATCTGTTTTTGATATGTAGGAAAAAATGCTTTACGATAGAATTATTGTAGTTGACACTTTAGAAAATACTTTGTAAAGCTTTATATTCTATTACCACCCCTCATCTGTTACATAGTGTAGGTTGGTATTCATAGGACAATTTTTTTGAAATTATATTAATTAATTATTAGATTATGAGAATTATTAAACAAAATGTATTTATTCCAAGTATCAGAAGCTAATGTTTGAATTGTTGTGATCAGAAAATTGCTTTTATTGGTCTATTGTTTTAGACAGCAGAAAGAGAAACTATGTAAGCTTAAAAACAATTAAACTTTTATAACAGTCAAGAAAACAAATCTTAGAATATTCACAATTTGAATTATGTTTAAATAATTCAAATTGTGAATTTTCTAAGCTAGTATATTGTAGAAAGTAGAATCTAGAACCAAACCTCAAATGGGAAAAATTAAAGTAGTCTGTGAAAATTTCCAAGTCTACCCTTCCAATCCCACTTTGACTCCTAGAATTGCTAATTAATTCAATCACAGGGCAGTATTATTAATAAATTAAGAGTCACACAGTAAAGTAAGATACTAAAAATGCAGCCTATACTACATGCCAAGGTTGTTCACTGAAAGTTTGTCTGACTTGGACTCAGTTATAATGAGTGTTGGGATATTTATAATTAACAGTAGATAGATTTAGTTGCAAATTAGCCCATATAGGTTTTTCTTCTATAGTTCACCCATGTGTGAATATTGAATGAAATTATTTTGGTATGAATGAAAGCGACATGAAAGAAACTAGAAGGAAAGTTAGGTTTAGAGAAAGAAATATTGTGTTACAGATATAGAAGTGAATGACATAGAGCAACAAAGCACTGGTGGATTTTTGTTAATTTTACCCCATCTATCCCTAGCATCACAGCTGTGTTTCAGATGCTTTTCTGTAGATAAGCTAAATAAAACATCAAAGGCTATAATATAGTGTAATATGCTGCACTAGCCAATTTGACTTGCTTAGAATTGCATTCATATTTTGCCTTTTACAGAGGCAAAAAAACTGGGCATGATGTGGACTTTCTGATCTCTTATAAGAAGGATGGGGAAGAAGTTGGAGTTCTTTCAAAGCTTTTGCTTAGCCTCACGAACAAGGGACATATTATTCATCAAAAAGTGGAAAAATCAACTTTTGATGAAGAGGTAATCAAAGGTTTGATTAGATTGTTAATAAGTAAAGAAGCAACCAACCAAAGAGGCACAGGTATATACTTGGCATCTGCAAAGCATTACACAGATGTTTTAACCACTTGGGATCCCTTTATTATTTAAGAATGTTGGATCTGTTGTTACTAACATGTGTTTACTTACATATAATCTTACTGGTGGTAGTAGTAGAAAAATATACCCAAGCCAGCATGTACATGCACCTGTATTTGAACATGTAGTTGGGCTAAAATGTATATCTGTATAGTTAAACTGCATTTCAAGTGTAAGGGACCTAAGACATCCCAATGTGTTGTGTAAAAATCCACCACATTTCCTCTCTCTTCACAAATATTTTCCATTTTCAAAGCATAGGAAGCTATCTGTGAACAATTGGACACTTACCTGTTCATTGTTCAGGACATTTTAATACCACAGACTTCATTTTGGTATTGCCAATCTGTAGTTCTAATTAACACAGGTAGGAGAATGAATATTACATGTGGTTGGGTACAAATATATGTCAATCAAATGTCAGCTCAGTAGACTGATAGTTGAGATTTTATACATAATCACAAGTTAATGCAATGTCGCCAGGAAAATGCTGTGCTCATTTAAATTTTTTTAATGGAATGTACATAGATGGCTCTGCTAATACTTAGCCACAAAGACATTAATTAGTAGACCCTTTGACCTTACCTGATTTCATCTTTCCTTGAATTGGTTGAGAAAAAAAAAAAAAAAAAAAATTACCAATGCTATGAATAGTGATGGTGTTATTTTTATTATAAACATTGTAATTCCTATAATTTTACTGATATTAGTAACAGCAAAATAAGATAACACAAAATATTTTCGAAAATCAAGGAAAAGGGTAAACAGGCGAGACAGGCAGTACTCGTGATTGGATCATTGGTGACTTAGTACAAGTGTAGCCATCTATGTAAAAACAATTAATAAAGTAAACTCTCAGTGGGCATGGCATGTAGGCACATGCCATGCCTGTTGGATATGGGTTAATTTTGCATGTGCTTTGTTAGGGAATATATATTTGTATGGCCGACAGTGCCAGTAATCTTATTCAGTTTTTCTCTCTCATTATTCAGGCAGTATTCAGGAAAGCGTCGGAAAAAGTAAACCCAATGGATCATTTTGAGAAATGTTTCTGCATATTTAGACTCCCAGAGTGTGAACCTTGGACATCATCTAATATACTGAATATAGGGAGAGGTATTTTTTCTTGAGTAATAATGTTAGTGAAATTGCCTTTAATTGTAATATTGCATGTAACTATGTGCCATTTGGTGCACTAGTAAGTTTGTCATATTTAGAATTACATCAAGATTTGTGTTGAAAAGATGATAATGATCTTGTCTTTTTTCCAGACTTTGAAAGCCATCTTAAGGAAGGTGAAAGCAAAAGAGATTGGAAGGCAGTCAGAGTAGACTTTGTATTTGTTCCTGCCAGCCAGTGGGGCTATGCACTCCTGGGCTGGACCGGTAGCAAGCTATATATGCGTTTGCTGCGTCATTATTCCAATCATTATTTAAATATGTTGCTCAACAGCCATGGTCTTTGGAACAGGACAGACAATACACTTCTCCCAGCCAAAAATGAAGAAGAGGTCTTTCAAAACCTTGGTTTGAGTTATAAGGAACCATGTGACAGAAATTTTTAATTTTTTTCAGTTGAGCAAGAATTTTATTGAATTTATAATAGAGTTAATGAAAGAAACCATTCTAAATGTGTAATTCCATTATGATGTATTATATATTTTTAGGAAAATATTATAAAAAATGAATAAATAAAGTTTTCACTAGACAGTATACTGTTGGTCTTTGACATTCTTAAACCCCTTATGATTTCAAAAATATTATACTTCACAGTGATTGATGAGTAGTAATGAGTTTGTTACTGCATTTTGATTATTTTGAGAACCAGCTACTGTAGATGAAGATGAAAGCAGGACCCAATGCAGTATATGTATGTATGTATGTATGTATATATATATGTATATAATGTACATGTGTGTGTGTGTGTGTGTGTGTGTGTGTGTGTGTGTGTGTGTGTGTGTGTGTGTGTGTGTGTGTGTGTGTGTGTGTGTGTGTGTGTGTGCATTATATATGCATATATATATGCAAATATATACATACATGTATTTATATATATGCATATATATATATATATATATATATATATATATATATATATATATATATATATACATACACATACATACATACATACATTCACTATTGAGAGGTTACATGACAGTGTCACCCTTCCCTTCCTTATCAACCGCGGTTCGGCGCGCTACCACTTGTGCCACTTGTGCCACCTGCGTTTGACTTCTCAAGATGTCGTTTTCTCGCCGTGAGATCGGGCACGAGCCTGCAGTCGCAGTGTAGGCATTTTTACGACTGCCTTGGCAAGGAATTGAATTTGGGACTTTACCACTGGATCATCATATATACATATATGTATATACATATATATATATATATATATATATATATATATATATATATATATATATATATATATATATATATACGAACACATATACTCATATGTGTATATAATTATATATATACATTATACATATATATATATATATATATATATATATATATATATATATATATATATATATATATATATATATTTATATATCTATATTTATATATATATATATGTGTGTGTGTGTGTGTGTATGTATATATATATATGTATATATATACATATACATGCACTCACACACACACACACACACACACACACACACACACACACACACACACACACACACACACACACACACACACACACACGTATGTATATAAATATACATGTATAAATGTGTGTGTGTGTATGTGTGCATGTATGTATATATACATACATATATGTATACATATCAGGGCTGGCAAATTGTTTTTTTTTTACCTTTGGGTTTTTGTTGTTTTTTTTAAACCCATACATACATTTTTTCTGTTTTTTTTTTTAACTAAAATTATTTATAATTTTAAGTTTGTAACAAATTCATTCATATTATAATTTTATAACATAAATTAACAAAGATAATATCTGTCCTACAAAACTTCATACTATTTAGTATATATTTTGCATCTATATGCCTTATTACGGTTACTGTTAGCCCGCTATTCTCACTTCCGGCTGGACGTGAGCGACTGAGCGATGAAGCCTTCTATGTTATGTATAAAATTGTCCATTTTCAAACATCAGTGAAAAATCCAATACTTATTTTTTGCTAGGTATTGATTTTCGGTGGCATATTACTTTACAACATCTCATCTACACGTCCACGCCTTTTTATTGCTAACTTTCCAATTAAACCTGAAAAGTGAAATTTTATGCAAGCACCTAAATGCGTTTTCTTGTCTTTCTCGATATATGGGCCTATACATTAAACAGTGATTCTATACAAGTTTATGGCAATGACCGTAGATTTCAAAAACAGTA